ATAGAATTTCTGTATAGCATAAAAGGATAATTGAATAAGAATTTTTCAATGAAAGACCTCGGTGAAGCTGCTTATATATTGGGCATCAAGATCTATAGAGGTAGATCAAGATGCTTAATTGGACTTTCACAAAGCACATACCTTGATAAGATTTTGAAGAAGTTTAAAATGGATTAGTCAAAGAAAGGGTTCTTGCCTGTGTTACAAGGTGTGAAGTTGAGTCAGACTCAATGCCCGACCACTTCAGAAGATATAGAGAAAATGAAAGGCATTCCCTATGCTTCAGCCATAGGTTCTATCATGTATGCTATGCTGTGTACCAGACCTGATGTGTGACTTGCTATAAGTATAGCAGGGAGGTACCAAAGTAATCCAGGAGTGGATCACTGGACAACGGTCAAGACCATCCTGAAGTACCTGAAAAGGACTAAGGATATGTTTCTCATTTATGGAGGTGACAAAGAGCTCGTCGTAAATGGTTATGTCGATGCTAGCTTTGACACTGATCCGGATGACTCTAAGTCACAAACCGGATACGTATTTATATTGAATGGTGGAGCTGTCAGTTGGTGCAGTTCCAAGCAAAGCGTCGTGGCGTGATCTACGTGTGAAGCGGAGTACATAGCTGCATCGGAAGCAGCGAATGAAGGAGTCTGTATGAAGGAGTTCATATCCGATCTAGGTGTAATACCTAGTGCATCGGGTCCAATGAAAATTTTTGTGACCATACTGGAGCAATAGCCTTAGCAAAGGAATCCAGATTTCACAAAAAAACCAAACACATCAAGAGACGCTTCAACTCCATCCGTAATCAAGTCAAGTCAAGGAGGGAGACATAGAGATTTGCAAAATACATATGGATCTGAATGTGGCAGACCCGCTGACTAAGCCTCTTCCACGAGCAAAACATGATCAACACCAACACTCCATGGGTGTTAGAATCATTACAATGTAATCTTGATTATTGACTCTAGTGCAAGTGGGAGACTGAAGGAAATATGCCCTAGAGGCAATAATAAAGTTGTTATTTATATTTCCTTATGTCATGATAAATATCTATTATTCATGCTAGAATTGTATTTACCGGAAACTTGATACATGTGTGAATACATAGACAAAACAAAGTGTCCCTAGTATGCCTCTACTAGACTAGCTCGTTAATCAAAGATGGTTAAGTTTCCTGACCATAGACATGTGTTGTCATTTGATGAACGGGATCACATCATTCTAATGATGTGATGGACAAGACCCATCTGTTAGCTTAGAATAATGATCGTTAAGTTTTATTGCTACTGCTTTCTTCATGACTTATACATATTCCTTTGACTATGAGATTATGCAACTCCCGAATACCGGAGGAATACCTTGTGTGCTATCAAACGTCAAAACGTAAAAGGGTGATTATAAAGATGCTCTACAGGCATCTTCGAAGGTGTTTTGTTGGGTTGGCATAGATCAAGATTAGGATTTGTCACTCCGAGTATCAGAGAGGTATCTCTGGGCCCTCTCGGTAATGCACATCATAATAAGCCTTGCAAGAAATGTGACTAATGAGTTAGTTACGGGATGATGCATTACGAAATGAGTAAAGAGACTTGCCGGTAACGAGATTGAACTAGGTATGAAGATACCGACGATCGAATCTCGGGCAAGTAACATACCAATGACAAAGGGAATAACGTATGTTGTCATAACGGTTCGACCGATAAAGATGTTCATAGAATATGTGGGAGCCAATAGGAGCATCCAGGTTCCCCTATTGGTTATTGACCGGAGAAGTGTCTCGGTCATGTCTACATAGTTCTTGAACCCGTAGGGTTCGCACGCTTAACGTTCGATGACGATTTGTATTATGAGTTATGTGTTTTGGTGACCAAAGTTTGTTCGGAGTCCCGGATGAGATCACGAACACGACGAGGAGTCTCGAAATAGTCGAGAGGTAAAGATTGATATATTGGACGATAGTATTTGGACACCAGAATGGTTCCGGATCATTTCGGGTATTTTTCGAAGTACTGGGAGGTTACCGGAACCCCCCGGGGAAAGTAATGGGCCTCATGGGCCATAGGGGAGAGAGGAGACAACCCACAAGGGGTGGCCGCGCACCCCCATGGGAGTCTGAATTGGACTAGGGGAGGGGGTGGCGCCTCCCTTTCCTTCCCTTCCTTCCTCTCCTTTCCCCCTCCGGAAGAAGGAAAAAAAGGGGGTGGGGAGGGGGGGGGGCGAATCCTACTAGGACTGGAGTCCTAGTAGGACTCCAACTCATTGGCGCGCCCCTGGTGGCCGGCCTCCTCCCCTCCTCCTTTATATACGGGGGCAGGAGGGCATCCCAAAGCACATCAATTATTCTCTTAGCCGTGTGTGGTGCCCCGTTCCACAGTTTACTCCTCCGGTCATAGCATCATAGTGCTTAAGCGAAGCCCTGCGCGGATCATATCACCATCACCTTCACCATGCAGTCGTGTTGAGGAATCTCTCCCTCGACCCTCTGTTGGATGAAGAGTTCGATGGACGTCATCGAGCTGAATGTGTGCTGAACTCGGAGGTGCCGTACGTTCGGTACTTGATTGGTTGAATCGCGAAGACGTTCGACTACATCAACCGCGTTAAACTAACGCTTCCGCTTTCGGTCTACGAGGGTACATGGACACACTCTCCCCCTCTCGTTGCTATGCATCTCCTAGATAGATCTTGCGTGATCGTAGATTTTTTTTTCAAATTGCGTGGTACGTTCCCCAACATTTTTTTCATGAAAAAATGTTCGTAAAAACCTATCAACATGAGATTTGATTTTGAATATCTCGATGCGAGGTATCCAACGAAGAAAACGGCACGAAATTTGGACGTATGGTTTAATAGATAAAATGTTTTGAATTAGCAGATATACGTAAAAAAGTTGCGACAAGACGCACGTTCAGTATGCCATTTGTCATAACCCCAGAAGGTGGGAGTGACATTTACAGAGTGCTCCTTAATTAGTGATTTCGTATTTTTGTGTGCTTTCGAGAGACTAGGGCCAGAAATATGTGGGCCTATGGTAACGCAGCCGTCCCATGGGTTATGCATTCACCTCATACAACCCACTGAGGACGTCAGGGAGCATCGAAACATGGCCACATCAAGTATGTACGGGTTGTGTGGCACACATGACTCTTGGAGGCACTCCCTCCTTGACTGCTCCATGTCAAGATGTATCTGGGCACTAGTGGATAGGGAGCTAGCGGATCAGCTGCAGGAATCGAGTGAACCAAGTGCTAAACAATGGTTGTTCTCGCTGATACACTCTCTATCTCATCATGCTTTTGTGAAATTGGCAGTAACACTCTGGGCGACGTGGATGGCAAGGAGAAAGGCCATCCACGAGGGCATTTTCCAGAGCCCCCATGCGGCCCATGCTTTCATCAATCGTTATCTAGCGGACCTGAAAATAGTAAAGGAGCAGCAGTAAGGAATGTCTAGAACAACATCACACAACACAACACCACCAGGCAATGTAAGGCCAAAGGCCCCATTGGCAGGATTTGCTAAAATCCATGTCGATGCGGGAGTATCCAAACGCCACAGGAGAGAGGCGACAGTGGCTGTATGTCACGACGAGCGAGGCAATTACCTGGGGAGTTCAACGTTGGTGGTTGAAGGGATGCGGATTCTGCAGTTCTTGAATGCATGGCATGCCGGGAAGCTTTAGCACTTGCCGAGGATTTAGCTGTTCAGAATCTTATCGTGGCATCTGATGCAAAGTAAGTGGTGCAAGACATATCCAACAACAACAAGGGTCCTTGCGGCATGGTTATCTCAGAAATCAAATCAAAAGTCTTGGGCTTCAATTGCAACATCGTCTTTAAAGGGCGCCGGTCCAACGGAGATGCTCATAGTTTAGCTAAATTTTCGCGTTCTTTAGCTCAGGGGAGCCACGTGTGGCTTGATCATCCCTATATTCCTCTTTGTATCTCACAAACTATGGTTTTCAATGCATGTATAATGTCTTTCATCCCTAAAAAAGCTATTTTTTTAAAAAAATAATGATTCTAAAAAAGCTAAAAAATAATAACCCTAAAAAAAGCTAAAATAATAATAATCACCTCATAAAAAAGGGTCTCATAAAAATAAAAAAGATAAAAGACAAGAATAGAAGAAAGGGCATGACGGCTAGACCTAGATCGCACACCCCATCCCGATCTCCTCGCGCCGCCGCCGCCGCCACTCCTCGTCCGCCAGCGCCAGCTTCGATCAGCCCAAGGAATAAGTCCTGTCGCAGGCATTACTCTATCTTTCTCTTTTCCATTTGGCGTGTATTCATTATTTGCTTCTGTAGATACTGTGGAAGAATCTCTTCTGTCACGTCAGAAGATCAAATACTATGATCTACTCTAATTTGTGATCTCCGTTTTGTAGGAGTGGGAGGAATTAAAATGAAGGCGCGGCAATTCCTGAATGTGGTGATGCGGAGGTCCGGCAGTGGCAGCTCGTACACGGTGAGCCGCATCAAGCCCGGGGAGCATCTCTTCTACCCATCCACGGCGGAAGCACGGGCGGCAGCAGCAGCGTAACCCAAGGACGATAATACGACGCCGCCATCACCAGCGGTTGCGCCGAAGATGCCACCGCCCAGGCTCAAATTCCAAGCGTACCGCGTAGACGGCCCAAGGCTCGATTTTTTGCCCTTCTACGGACGAGGCAGCGGCGGCGGCGATGGTAAGATCCTCTCCATGGACTCGGCGGGCAACACCGTGCTCTGCGACGCCGGCAGCTGCTCCGTCCAGCCCGTTGCCGGCCTCAACGAACCCAAGGGTGACAGCCCCGTCTCCTTCTCCATCACTCGTGCGGAAACGGAAACCTCCCGTCAAGCCCTGTACGTCATGGACAGGTTCCCCTCTCCCGGCAATGCTTTCAACTTCGAAGCCCTCATCTACGGCAAGAAGTGCTGGGAGTGGCACCGTCTCCCGCCGCTGCCCTACGTCAATGACGCATCCTATGAATGCACCGCCATCCAGTCCTACATGCTGCTGGCTGATGTCTCGACCATCTGCGTGTCCTCCGCTGGGCTCATCGGCACCTACTGCTTCGACACGGTTAGCTGCGCCTGGGAAAAGGCTGGCCGCTGGACGCTGCCGTTCCATGGACGGGCTGAGCATGTCCCTGAGCTTCGCGACCTCTGGTTCGGCATGACCGGAAACAACCCAAACAACTTCAACAACTTGTGCGCACTGGACCTCTCCAACTTTGGCAGGGCTCCCAAGTTGCTACATGACTGGCAGGTCCTCGACACGCCTCATGGATGGGTGCAGACAAGGGGTAGCCTGCTGTACCTTGGAGCCGGCAGGTTTTGCATCTTCGGAAAATTTGACACCGGGGAGCAAGATGCCCAGGGCAATCCGAGCAACACGGCGGCTGTGCTCACCGGCGTGGAGGTGGTACTCGAAGGATCAGCTGAACTCCAAATGATCAAGCACAAGTCCTTTGTCAGCTATGCCGGCATCCAGTGTGTTCTTTAACTCGCCGAGGCTGTGTTCGGTTAATCCTCTCCCATGGTGATGGGAGGGGATTCAGGGAGTTTTGACTTGCGGATTTCGTTACGCTCAACCCCTTTCAATCTCCACCAAACGGAAGCGAACAAGCTCTAATGTTTAGGGGAGGAAATACGCTGACAAAATGCCTCTTCTACCTTGCAGCAGCCAGATCAAGGTGGATGTAACTTACACTTAATCAAAAGTGGCCCAATCGGAAGTGTCGTCGGAATAGGTAGGCAGGGTAGGTCGCATCATGTGCATCCAACCATTTGGTGCACCTGGTCTAAGAAACCCCATTTATGATTGTTGGAAAATTCTTGGAAAAAATATGTTATAGTAGTAACACGAACATATCGTTCCACAAAATTTCATATGCAAATGAGAAATAAAAATGGCCCAAACCATAAAATTCACATAAAATTAATACATCGCTGCAAAGAGGACCTAGCAAGAAAAAGAAATACAACATGGCCCTTCCTTTTTTGCATATATGACTCCAAATCATACAAGAGAAACGCAATTAAGTCATATCACAGTTATAGGACTCTAAACCATACAAGAGGATTGCAATCGAGTCCATTGTTTTAAATAGCGCCCTATAGCGTTTAGAGAGTTCTGCGCCAAGGGACTTTGGTCCTAACACATGACCGAGCGTTTTAAATAGCGTGTTATAGCGTTTAGAGAGGTCCACTGCTAGGAGGCATAGCCCGCTATTTGTAACTATGATTTGAGTCATATTGAACGTAACTGACGAGTTCATTGTCTTCGACACAAACCTTGCCAACGATGGACAAGGGGATAAGGGCCTTGCATGGCGGTTGAAGACGACACATTCATAAGCATTTCCTTTGTTGATCTGTAATTTCTGTAGTCGAGATCCACAAGATAGCTCGCACACCACAGAGAGATCGCCGGAGGTTGAAATGAAATATACCGGTTCCTCTTTAATTTGATCAGCTTATGAAGAAAGATTGGCACTAGATCTGTCCAGGGGTTCTCGTGAGCTTATTAAAGAAGCTTTCACCAAATCCACTTCTCACCGCCACAATCCACCATGGTAGTCGGGTTGAGGAGGAGGATTGCGAGCTAATACGTTACTCGTTGCCAACGGAGCAAATAACGAAGACATAACATCAGTCTCCTCGAAGGTAAGTCTACATGTATCCCTACCGCTACTATCTACAGAGAGGCCAGCCACCCACCTCTCGCATTCCTACTCCGGCGGGCACGAGTCCGCTGGAGGAGTACGGGAGAGGGACGGGGAGACACAAGCAACTCATGGGGAAGGAGAGAGAAAGGGAGAAAAGAAATGGGAGCCATATATATATTACTCCCTCCGTTCCTAAATAGTATAGTTCTTTTTAGAGATTTCAATATGGACTACATACGTATGTATATAGACATATTTTAGAGTGTAGGTTCACACATTTTGCTCCGTATGTAGTCTATATTGGAATCTCTAAAAAGACTTATATTTAGGAACGGAGGGAGTATAAGCTTATCGAAACCATTTAGCCGGACTTAAGTATTATGGTTTTTTAGCTTTTACAAGTATAACTTTGTAAACAACCAATTATGATGTTCACCTCTATTTGTGAAACTGAAAATGTTCCCAATATCTGAAGGAAAAATATAAGTGTTAAAGCATAGTAGATTAGGAGGGACCCTAAACGGAGCCCCTGCATACTTTGTTGGGGCTTGAACAAAAAAAAAAGTACTCTAGGAATGGCCACACATGTGTTTAGTAATCACATCATCTATGTTACTCCTTCAGTTCCTTAATATAAGTATTTTTTAGATATTTCAATATAGACTACATACAGATGTATATTAGACATATTTTAGAGTGTAGATTCACTCATTTTGCTCCGTACATAGTCTATAAAGGAATCTCTAAAAAGACTTATATTTAGAAGCGGAGGGAGTAATAAAGACCAAAATTTGGAACTAACAAAAATGTTGTGTTGCCTTTGCCTCTTGTTGCATTTATTTAGAGTTTGAAGCGAAGGGAGTAAAAAAACCTTTATTTTCCAAAAACCCTAAGAATAAGGTTTGAACTAAAAATATTTATTTATTATAGAAACAATTCATTAAAAAAACGGAGCCTATTATATAAGATCACTATCCCCTTCAAGATTATAATTTTAAAATACGTAATTCTTTAAAGAAATGGTTAAATATTTATTTTTTTCTCAAATCTCAGTAATTTACCCAAGAAATATTTCATCATTGCCCACATGAGTTTCACTACATGGCCATGTTCAAAATAATGATCAAGCATCAATCACACACTCGCTCCTAATTTGACCTATAAAAAAATCCATAAAACAATTCTCAAATAAATCTAGCACATGCTTATGTTCCCTATCTACTATCTAGTGGGCAACCTTTCTTACCCATCTTAAGCAGAAATTTTGAGTGAAACTTCAGATTTACTCCTGTGTTCAAACAATGGAATTGGATGCTCTAGCTCAAAATTTTGCCTCCACCCCTGTTCTACCCTCTCCTTGCCTCTAGTCCTTGCATGTGCCACTAGTACGAAATCGGGCTTTGTAGGTGGTTTTCATAAATGGTCCTGAGGCAGCTACCCATATACGTCTGAAAATAATCTGTGTCGCTAATACTCGGGAGTCAGAGGCGGTCACCTGAACTGTCGTAGGTGGTTTCTCCTTTCTAACGCCTCTACCGCTCAGAGCACCGCAGACAATTTCTAATTACTAACCGTCTCGAATGCTCAGAGCATCGCAGACAATTTCTTCAAAATTCGGTAACGAGCCCTACTGAAATTCATAGAAACAACAAACTTATGCATATACACTGAAATCGATATAAAACAACATCATTGTTCAACATTTTAACATCACGCACAGAAAAAAGAGTTAAATATGAAAACACATCAGACATGTTTCACACAACACAAACATCCTAGGCCTCCAGGCTCCAGCGTATCACTAGCTCCAGCACATCACACTAGTCTTCATGAGGCCATAGAAGTCTACGTCCTTGGGCAGCAGGTCAGAAACTTTAGTGGCCATCATTAGTGTTGCCCCCTCGGTAACCGTGCCTTGCTTCAGATTGGCACCATGAGGACGAGGGAACCACGAATTGTGTATTGAATTTCACAAGATCAACACCCAAGGGCCGAGACGTACGACTCCGGAAGGTAGCTTCGGTCATCAGCATGGGTCCTTGACAACTGCACTTATTCGGCTAGCTACCTTGGAATGTGTAGCATGTTGCAAGGCCTTGGCCCTCTTAGAGGATCTAAACTTGCAGGAACTTGTTATCACATGTGATGCATCCACCGTAGTAAAGAACATCAATGAAGCAGGTTCCCATATAGCTCAGTGCTTACGGAGATCAAGGAACGAGCAAGTTCCTTCATTTCAGTAAGGTTTATTCACGAGGGTGAATCGTCTAACTATGAGGCGCATAATCTTGTGAAGAGTGTTCTCTCCCTCGATCATGGTCGCTATCTCTAGCTTCTTCAGCCATGGGATCCTTCTACTGTACCCCTTATTATAGAGCAATAAAGAGACCATATGATTCTAACAAAATGGGGAAGGAAATGATAAGACACCTGGAGAATTGCCTCTAGCAAGTCATGCTGCAACTTGGGCCCCTCTATCTGACGTCCATCATATATCCAACCAAAAGGATTGGACCAAGGGTACAACAACCCACACTTCGCAGTTTTCAGCAGCAAATTTCTTATCAAAAAACACATGGCAACGCTCCGAGCGGGCTTAGCGAGCTCGTTTTCTCCCATGTCATGTCGCCGAGGAGAGGGTTGAGGGCGAGCAACGCAGCGGAGTAGGGGGAAGAGGACGGGGATGCCCCGCCGTGGAGGAGAGGAAGGCGAGTTGCGCTGCTATGGAGGAGGGGCCGCCGTTGGGGAGCAAGAGAGTAAAGGCCGCAAGACCGCCGTGGAGGACCGGCAATGTCGAGATAGAGGAAGGAGACTCAGCAGTACAGTGGATTCCTTTTCGATTATGTGTCGCACCGCTCGGTCTGTTATTAATTCAGTAGCAAGCTCTCCAATTTGAAGGATGCCGAATTGCATAATTTCTTGGTGCTTTGTAATCGTTAGTGCCGTGTAAATGGTTAGTGCATCTATGTTCCTCTCATTCTCAATTTTTATGCTAAGTGCTAAAGACCTTCTTCGCTAAATGTTTTTGAATTTTAATTACAAGTGCCATTGAATTATTCAGTCTTTTGCTTTTAATTATGTTCCTGCATAATAGGTTTAGTTATTATTTTTATATTTTTATTTTTGGGAATCTAAATATGAAGAGTTCTTTTTTTTTTTGATAAAAATATGAAGAGTGCTTAGTACATATAGCTTTTGTTGCCCGTGCTGAAAACAGCAGGTCCGGGCGTCTCTACTGAAAACTGACTATGTGTTGGCTGTCTTCCCCTGGGGCCAATCCCCTCCGTCAGATCTTCAATGGACGTCAGAGAAAAGGGGCAAGTTGCAGCGTGTCACCTGATCTCTGTTCCACTTCCATCCGATCCTAGCCGCCGCCGCCGCCGTCATCCCCGCTGCGACCACCAACTCTGCCGCAGGTATTAATTACTCCTTATTTCTCTTGCCCTGGTCGATCTTGTTTGTTTTCGTTGAAGTGCTGGGTCTCTGGGGCATCATTCATCATCTAATCCATGATCGCTGGGTCTCTGCGCTAGCAAGATCCTCTGCGTGGACGCCGAGGGGCACACCATCCTGTACGACATGGACGCCGGTTCCCTCCAGCCGATTCCACATCTCAACAGTCCCAAGGGGAGCAGGCCCATCGGCTTCTCCGCCACTAATCGCGAAGCCTTCGACCCCGAGCGCGCTGATGCCTTCTACGTCATGGGAAGGTTCCCTTCCAGCTACGGTCCCTACAACTTCGAGGTACTCATGTACAGTCACCCTTCCAATGGCAGGAATATGAGAGGCTGGAACTGGCTCAAGCTACCGTCACCACCTGCAGCCTATGTTGACG